CGACTCAGAAAACTTTACGTCAAAGCTCATCTCAATTCGGACTCATCTCTAGATATTTACCTGGACTGCACATATAATATTAAAAAGTGGTAAACTTAGCCACAGTTACCAGGTTACCTGGTTACCAGGTTACCAGGTTAGATATTTACCTGGACTGCACATATAATATTAAAAAGTGGTAAACTTAGCCACAGTTACCAGGTTACCTGGTTACCAGGCTACCAGGTTACCAGGTTACCAGGTTACCAGGTTAGATATTTACCTGGACTGCACATATAATATTAAAAAGTGGTAAACTTAGCCACAGTTACCAGGTTACCTGGTTACCAGGTTACCTGGTTACCAGGTTACCAGGTTACCTGGTTACCTGGTTACCAGGTTACCAGGTTACCTGGTTACCAGGTTACCAGATTACCTGGTTACCAGATTACCAGGTTAGATATTTACCTGGACTGCACATATAATATTAAAAAGTGGTAAACATAGCCACAGTTACCAGGTTACTAGGTTACCAGGTTACCTGGTTACCAGGTTACCAGGTTAGATATTTACCTGGACTGCACATATAATATTAAAAAGTGGTAACTGGTAACCTTAGCCACAGTTTTAGAAACTACATATATTTATGTTTGTAGTTTCATTCAGAGTTTTTGTTTCGTTCTGGATTAAATTAAATTATTATTAACATACAACGTTTTCAGTAACTCAAACACAGCCAATTATGAATTCTTTATAAAATTATCGTAACTATTTTCTTTGTACTAATAGTAATAATGTATTGACTATGGTTTATACATAGGATATGAATATCTAAGTTCTCATTTACCAAACCAATTGATTTATACCTATATCCCAATTCGCTATTCAAAATCAGTTTGAGTTCCCGAGTCGGAATTTCATTTGCCCTTGATTTTTGATACACGCGCCGAGTTGTAACCCTTTTGTAAGCCTTTGGTCGGCCGAAGTGCACGAGAGAGGTATAAAACGTGTAGACTGCATGTAGCAAATTCGTAGTCCATAATTATTAATACATTTCCATTATAATGGACTAATAGGTTCGCGATATTAATTAAAATTAAATAACTCAATCCTAGTTTTCAATTCACTGTCACCAAGATGTAACCCAACTCATGGTATTTTTGCATAAAATATTCGGAATCAATTTATTACTGGGCGGCGCTCAGATGAGCCTATAATTCCGCCGAATCTTTATGTTTATGAACATACTAGCTTGGGGTCCCCAGGTAAATTTAGAATTGCATTTCAACCTAATACTGCATGCAAAAACTGCGGCCAAATTTCAAAATTAGCCGGGTCACTGACACTGTTATCTCGAAAACAAGTTTCACAAAAAATCGGGGTGAACCCCCCTCCCCACAGGGGGACTATAATGCAAAGAAACTGCTGCTAACAGTAGCAGTTAGCAGCAGTTAGTAGCAGTTAGCAGCAGTTAGCAGCAGTTAGCAGCAGTTAGCAGCAGTTTCTTTGCACTATAGTCCCCCTGTAACTACATAATTCTAACCAAGTTATTACAACAGAGCACATAATTCTAACCAAGTTATTACAACAGGGCACATAATTCTAACCAAGTTATTGCAACAGGGCACATAAGTCTAATCAAGTTATTACAACAGGGCACATAACTCTAACCAAGTTATTACAACAGGGCACATAACTCTAACCAAGTTATTACAACAGGGCACATAATTCTAACCAAGTTATTACAACAGGGCACATAATTCTAACCAAGTTATTACAACAGGGCACATAATTCTAACCAAGTTATTACAACAGGGCACATAATTCTAACCAAGTTATTACAACAGGGCACATAATTCTAACCAAGTTATTACAACAGGGCACATAATTCTAACCAAGTTATTACAACAGGGCACATAATTCTAACCAAGTTATTACAACAGGGCACATAATTCTAACCCAGTTATTACAACAGGGCACATAATTCTAACCAAGTTATTACAACAGGGCACATAATTCTAACCAAGTTATTACAACAGGGCACATAATTCTAACCAAGTTATTACAACAGGGCACATAATTCTAACCAAGTTATTACAACAGGGCACATAATTCTAACCAAGTTATTACAACAGGGCACATAATTCTAACCAAGTTATTACAACAGGGCACATAATTCTAACCAAGTTATTACAACAGGGCACATAATTCTAACCAAGTTATTACAACAGGGCACATAATTCTAACCAAGTTATTACAACAGGGCACATAATTCTAACCAAGTTATTACTACAGGGCACATAATTCTAACCAAGTTAATACAACAGGGCACATAATTCTAACCAAGTTATTACAACAGGGCACATAATTCTAACCAAGTTATTACAACAGGGCACATAATTCTAACCAAGTTATTACAACAGGGCACATAATTCTAACCAAGTTATTACAACAGGGCAAATAATTCTAACCAAGTTATTACAACAGGGCACATAATTCTAACCAAGTTATTACAACAGGGCACAGCTGCGATGATTATCTCCTGTGGGTTGAGCATCCTGAACTTCGTATTCTTCCTTCAACATGAACGTAGAGGCTCTATTGTGCAGGTACCTTTCATAGCCTGGACCTTTTACCTCTCTTTCTGTGGGTTGAGGATCATTAACGTTGAGGATAAAACTCTATGATGTGTACTGTGTAGGTGCAGTAAAGTGTAGCAGGTGCAGTAAAGTGTAGCAGGTGCAGTGAAGTGTAGTGGGTGCAGTAAAGTGTAGTAGGTGCAGTAAAGTGTAGTGGGTGCAGTAAAGTGTAGTAGGTGCAGTAAAGTGTAGCAGGTGCAGTAAAGTGTAGTAGGTGCAGTAAGTGCGATAAAGTGTATTAGGTGCAGTAAAGTGTATTAGGTGCAGTAAATTGTATTAGGTGCAGTAAAGTGTAGTATATGCAGTAAAGTGCAGCAGGTGCAGTAAAGTGTAGTAGGTGCAGTAAAGTGTAGAAGGTGCAGTAAAGTGTAGTGGGTATATTAACTTGTATTAGATGCAGTAAAGTGTAGTAGGTGCAGTAAAGTGTAGCAGGTGCAGTTAAGTGTAGTGGGTGCAGTAAAGTGTAGTAGGTGCAGTAAGTGTAGTAGGTGCAGTAAAGTGTAGTATGTGCAGTTAAGTGTAGTAGGTGCAGTAAAGTGTAGTAGGTGCAGTTAAGTGTATTAGGTGCAGTAAAGTGTAGCAGGTGCTGAGGTGCAGTAAAGTGTAGTAGGTGCAGTAAAGTGTAGTGGGTGTATTAACTTGTATTAGGTGCAGTAAAGTGTAGTATGTGCAGTTAAGTGTAATAGGTGGAGTAAAGTGTAGTAGATGCAGTAAAGTGTAGTGGATGCAGTAAAGTGTAGTAGGTGCAGTAAAGTGTAGTATGTGCAGTTAAGTGTAGTAAAGTGTAGTAGATGCAGTAAAGTGTAGTGGATGCAGTAAAGTGTAGTAGGTGCAGTAAAGTGTAGTATGTGCAGTTAAGTGTAGTAAAGTGTAGTAGATGCAGTAAAGTGTAGTAGATGCAGTAAAGTGTAGTAGATGCAGTAAAGTGTAGTAGATGCAGTTAAGTGTAATAGGTGCAGTAAAGTGTAGTGGGTGCAGTAAAGTGTAGTAGGTGCAGTAAAGTGTAGCAGGTGCAGTAAAGTGTAGTAGGTGCAGTAAGTGCGATAAAGTGTATTAGGTGCAGTAAAGTGTATTAGGTGCAGTAAATTGTATTAGGTGCAGTAAAGTGTAGTATATGCAGTAAAGTGCAGCAGGTGCAGTAAAGTGTAGTAGGTGCAGTAAAGTGTAGAAGGTGCAGTAAAGTGTAGTGGGTATATTAACTTGTATTAGATGCAGTAAAGTGTAGTAGGTGCAGTAAAGTGTAGCAGGTGCAGTTAAGTGTAGTGGGTGCAGTAAAGTGTAGTAGGTGCAGTAAGTGTAGTAGGTGCAGTAAAGTGTAGTATGTGCAGTTAAGTGTAGTAGGTGCAGTAAAGTGTAGTAGGTGCAGTTAAGTGTATTAGGTGCAGTAAAGTGTAGCAGGTGCTGAGGTGCAGTAAAGTGTAGTAGGTGCAGTAAAGTGTAGTGGGTGTATTAACTTGTATTAGGTGCAGTAAAGTGTAGTATGTGCAGTTAAGTGTAATAGGTGGAGTAAAGTGTAGTAGATGCAGTAAAGTGTAGTGGATGCAGTAAAGTGTAGTAGGTGCAGTAAAGTGTAGTATGTGCAGTTAAGTGTAGTAAAGTGTAGTAGATGCAGTAAAGTGTAGTGGATGCAGTAAAGTGTAGTAGGTGCAGTAAAGTGTAGTATGTGCAGTTAAGTGTAGTAAAGTGTAGTAGATGCAGTAAAGTGTAGTAGATGCAGTAAAGTGTAGTAGATGCAGTAAAGTGTAGTAGATGCAGTAAAGTGTAGTAGATGCAGTAAAGTGTAGTAGATGCAGTAAAGTGTAGTAGATGCAGTAAAGTGTAGTAGATGCAGTAAAGTGTAGTAGATGCAGTAAAGTGTAGTAGATGCAGTAAAGTGTAGTAGATGCAGTAAAGTGTAGTAGATGCAGTTAAGTGTAATAGGTGCAGTAAAGTGTAGTAGATGCAGTAAAGTGTAGTAGATGCAGTAAAGTGTAGTAGATGCAGTTAAGTGTAATAGGTGCAGTAAAGTGTAGTAGATGCAGTTAAGTGTAATAGGTGCATTACAGCAGTGGAGAAACATATGACTCGTAGTTTGACTCGTAGTTTGACTTATATAAATGTAGTTAGTTATAATTATATTAAAGACCTAGTATTTTAATTTGGCTATTTTATTATTCTGCTGAATGCAGGACATTTCAGCGTTGTAGGACATCATGTTCTAGATATTATATTCAATAGTTTCCACTTTCAATTTCTATTTTAAAATTAAACATTTACTTTTAGTTGGTATGATAGAAAATTTTAAAAATATTTCTTGTCAAGATAGATTTTAAACATGAAACATTTTGAAAATATCTTCCTTTTATGTCGAATACCGGATAAGTTAAACAAATGAAGACAGCGTTTATGTTTCGTATTTGTAAAAATGGGTGAAAATAAGATATTCGCAAATTAACATATCATACACAGAATAATCAATAAAATAAAAAAGTTTTCAAAAAGAAATAGCTGTTTGCAGGGACTGTATTCATTACTTTTCACTCCTTTATAAATGTTTGTTTCAATAACAAAAATTAACTTTTCACTCTATAAATATTTGTTTCAATAACAAACATTCACGTCCAGCACTAATAGTAATGAGTGTTACCATTTCCTTGCATTAATTTATTAATTATAAGAAATACCTTCAAATTTTCTTGAACATAGCACGTGTATCATCGTAACAAATTTTAGATAGTCAAAACAAACAAACTTATTAAACAAAAGTTAACTGTTTTTTGATTCCTTAGTATTGCTTATCAATTCGCGCACAAATTTAGAAAATCAAGTATAATTGATAATAGTCAAATAAAATCTAGCTTTAACATTTCTTATCTAATATGTCAGAAGATAATAATGAATGTGTCTTTAACGATAAGTCACAATCAATTCATTGTGTAATTAATGACAAACCGACAAATCAATCGATTAGGAATTAACTAACTCTAAAAACACGAATTTAAAAGTTGTATTATCTAAGGTACCAGCGCATACGTATTACGTAATGGTGTAAAATAAACAAACTAAAAGTAAAATACTTCTGAGACACTTCTCAAGACGACTCTAGCACTAAAATAAATGAGGTCGAAAATCAGTTGCTTGCGGTGTCCAATGATGTGACGTCACTTGTAGTCAACCTGTAGTCAATTTGTAGTCAACTTGTAGTCAACTTTTAGTCAATTTGCTAACTTCATTCTTCATTCAATTCTTCAAATCCATAATTTCACAAGTGCAATCTCGTCTTTATTCTTCGTCATGATAACAGCATTGCTTGAGGATCGTTTTTTCTATGATCTTTGACGCAATCTCTTTCCCCAGAATGATAGTAGTATAATTAGTAGTATATACCTCTAATTACTACTAATTATATCATGTGGAAATACAAACTTCTCCGTATAAAAGGCAACTCTAAAACAAGGAGTTCTGGACCCTATCTTTCATTACTTGTGAAGCCTAACCATGGTCATTCCCTGTGTATCTGTCTCTAAGTTAATATCGAACAAGCTGGGAGCCTCCTTGATCGTCACGTTCTCTCCGTTGTTCCATGCAGCTCCGAACCGAGCAGCGAAGATGTCACCAGCGTTGTCATCAATGTCTGGCAGGACGATGGATGCTCTGTCGTCACCACCGAGTCCTGAGAGAGTTGTCATGTTATTATGTAACATCACACTTAATGTTATGATGTGTTAATTATATTTGATTAGTTTATTTTCAGTAAGCAAAAATCCGGGAAGGGACTGAGTCAGATGGTGAAATAAATCTCAGCAAAATTTAATTTCCTTCTTCATTTCCTCTACATCTAAAGTGTGAAGGAAACTAACCGAATTGGAAGCTAGAATGTAGAGTTTGGGAAACTAACCGAATTGGAAGCTAGAATGTAGAGTTTGGGAAACTAACCGAATTGGAAGCTAGAATGTAGAGTTTGGGAAACTAACCGAATTGGAAGCTAGAATGTAGAGTTGGGGAAACTAACCGAATTGGAAGCTAGAATGAAGAGTTTGGGAAACTAACCGAATTGGAAGCTAGAATGTAGAGTTTGGGAAACTAACCGAATTGGAAGCTAGAATGTAGAGTTGGGGAAACTAACCGAATTGGAAGCTAGAATGTAGAGTTGGGGAAACTAACCGAATTGGAAGCTAGAATGTAGAGTTTGGGAAACTAACCGAATTGGAAGCTAGAATGTAGAGTTTGGGAAACTAACCGAATTGGAAGCTAGAATGTAGAGTTGGGGAAACTAACCGAATTGGAAGCTAGAATGTAGAGTTGGGGAAACTAACCGAATTGGAAGCTAGAATGTAGAGTTGGGGAAACTAACCGAATTGGAAGCTAGAATGTAGAGTTGGGGAAACTAACCGAATTGGAAGCTAGAATGTAGAGTTGGGGAAACTAACCGAATTGGAAGCTAGAATGTAGAGTTGGGGAAACTAACCGAATTGGAAGCTAGAATGTAGAGTTGGGGAAACTAACCGAATTGGAAGCTAGAATGTAGAGTTGGGGAAACTAACCGAATTGGAAGCTAGAATGTAGAGTTTGGGAAACTAACCGAATTGGAAGCTAGAATGTAGAGTTGGGGAAACTAACCGAATTGGAAGCTAGAATGTAGAGTTGGGGAAACTAACCGAATTGGAAGCTAGAATGTAGAGTTGGGGAAACTAACCGAATTGGAAGCTAGAATGTAGAGTTGGGGAAACTAACCGAATTGGAAGCTAGAATGTAGAGTTGGGGAAACTAACCGAATTGGAAGCTAGAATGTAGAGTTGGGGAAACTAACCGAATTGGAAGCTAGAATGTAGAGTTGGGGAAACTAACCGAATTGGAAGCTAGAATGTAGAGTTGGGGAAACTAACCGAATTGGAAGCTAGAATGTAGAGTTGGGGAAACTAACCGAATTGGAAGCTAGAATGTAGAGTTTGGGAAACTAACCGAATTGGAAGCTAGAATGTAGAGTTGGGGAAACTAACCGAATTGGAAGCTAGAATGTAGAGTTGGGGAAACTAACCGAATTGGAAGCTAGAATGTAGAGTTGGGGAAACTAACCGAATTGGAAGCTAGAATGTAGAGTTGGGGAAACTAACCGAATTGGAAGCTAGAATGTAGAGTTGGGGAAACTAACCGAATTGGAAGCTAGAATGTAGAGTTGGGGAAACTAACCGAATTGGAAGCTAGAATGTAGAGTTGGGGAAACTAACCGAATTGGAAGCTAGAATGTAGAGTTGGGGAAACTAACCGAATTGGAAGCTAGAATGTAGAGTTGGGGAAACTAACCGAATTGGAAGCTAGAATGTAGAGTTGGGGAAACTAACCGAATTGGAAGCTAGAATGTAGAGTTGGGGAAACTAACCGAATTGGAAGCTAGAATGTAGAGTTGGGGAAACTAACCGAATTGGAAGCTAGAATGTAGAGTTGGGGAAACTAACCGAATTGGAAGCTAGAATGTAGAGTTGGGGAAACTAACCGAATTGGAAGCTAGAATGTAGAGTTGGGGAAACTAACCGAATTGGAAGCTAGAATGTAGAGTTGGGGAAACTAACCGAATTGGAAGCTAGAATGTAGAGTTGGGGAAACTAACCGAATTGGAAGCTAGAATGTAGAGTTGGGGAAACTAACCGAATTGGAAGCTAGAATGTAGAGTTGGGGAAACTAACCGAATTGGAAGCTAGAATGTAGAGTTGGGGAAACTAACCGAATTGGAAGCTAGAATGTAGAGTTGGGGAAACTAACCGAATTGGAAGCTAGAATGTAGAGTTGGGGAAACTAACCGAATTGGAAGCTAGAATGTAGAGTTGGGGAAACTAACCGAATTGGAAGCTAGAATGTAGAGTTGGGGAAACTAACCGAATTGGAAGCTAGAATGTAGAGTTGGGGAAACTAACCGAATTGGAAGCTAGAATGTAGAGTTGGGGAAACTAACCGAATTGGAAGCTAGAATGTAGAGTTGGGGAAACTAACCGAATTGGAAGCTAGAATGTAGAGTTGGGGAAACTAACCGAATTGGAAGCTAGAATGTAGAGTTGGGGAAACTAACCGAATTGGAAGCTAGAATGTAGAGTTGGGGAAACTAACCGAATTGGAAGCTAGAATGTAGAGTTGGGGAAACTAACCGAATTGGAAGCTAGAATGTAGAGTTGGGGAAACTAACCGAATTGGAAGCTAGAATGTAGAGTTGGGGAAACTAACCGAATTGGAAGCTAGAATGTAGAGTTGGGGAAACTAACCGAATTGGAAGCTAGAATGTAGAGTTGGGGAAACTAACCGAATTGGAAGCTAGAATGTAGAGTTGGGGAAACTAACCGAATTGGAAGCTAGAATGTAGAGTTGGGGAAACTAACCGAATTGGAAGCTAGAATGTAGAGTTGGGGAAACTAACCGAATTGGAAGCTAGAATGTAGAGTTGGGGAAACTAACCGAATTGGAAGCTAGAATGTAGAGTTGGGGAAACTAACCGAATTGGAAGCTAGAATGTAGAGTTGGGGAAACTAACCGAATTGGAAGCTAGAATGTAGAGTTGGGGAAACTAACCGAATTGGAAGCTAGAATGTAGAGTTGGGGAAACTAACCGAATTGGAAGCTAGAATGTAGAGTTGGGGAAACTAACCGAATTGGAAGCTAGAATGTAGAGTTGGGGAAACTAACCGAATTGGAAGCTAGAATGTAGAGTTGGGGAAACTAACCGAATTGGAAGCTAGAATGTAGAGTTGGGGAAACTAACCGAATTGGAAGCTAGAATGTAGAGTTGGGGAAACTAACCGAATTGGAAGCTAGAATGTAGAGTTGGGGAAACTAACCGAATTGGAAGCTAGAATGTAGAGTTGGGGAAACTAACCGAATTGGAAGCTAGAATGTAGAGTTGGGGAAACTAACCGAATTGGAAGCTAGAATGTAGAGTTGGGGAAACTAACCGAATTGGAAGCTAGAATGTAGAGTTGGGGAAACTAACCGAATTGGAAGCTAGAATGTAGAGTTTGGGAAACTAACCGAATTGGAAGCTAGAATGTAGAGTTGGGGAAACTAACCGAATTGGAAGCTAGAATGTAGAGTTGGGGAAACTAACCGAATTGGAAGCTAGAATGTAGAGTTGGGGAAACTAACCGAATTGGAAGCTAGAATGTAGAGTTGGGGAAACTAACCGAATTGGAAGCTAGAATGTAGAGTTGGGGAAACTAACCGAATTGGAAGCTAGAATGTAGAGTTGGGGAAACTAACCGAATTGGAAGCTAGAATGTAGAGTTGGGGAAACTAACCGAATTGGAAGCTAGAATGTAGAGTTGGGGAAACTAACCGAATTGGAAGCTAGAATGTAGAGTTGGGGAAACTAACCGAATTGGAAGCTAGAATGTAGAGTTTGGGAAACTAACCGAATTGGAAGCTAGAATGTAGAGTTGGGGAAACTAACCGAATTCGAAGCTAGAATGTAGAGTTGGGGAAACTAACCGAATTGGAAGCTAGAATGTAGAGTTGGACTCAAACAGGCCCTCTGAATATCGTCTCCCTGCTCCTTGTTCAGCTTCTCCAGGAACGCTCGAGATGTGTTAAAGTTGTTGAGTAGTTTCTCACCGTATTCGAGACGACGCAGCGCGTTTGTCCACAGTCGGAACTGCAGCTCGTTTTCAACACAGATACACCTGAGAGGGGTGAAGCGTGAATATTTTGACAAGATAAGACGTGATGGTATAGTATTGTAGAGAAAGTGAAACTAACCTGGTAGAGAAAGTGAAACTAACCTGGTAGAGAAAGTGAAACTAACCAAGTAAAGTGAAAGTGAAACTAACCTGGTAGAGAAAGTGAAACTAACCAAGTAAAGTGAAAGTGAAACTAACCAGGTAGAGAAAGTGAAACTAACCAAGTAAAGTGAAAGTGAAACTAACCAGGTAGAGAAAGTGAAACTAACCAAGTAAAGTGAAAGTGAAACTAACCTGGTAGAGAAAGTGAAACTAACCAAGTAAAGTGAAAGTGAAACTAACCTGGTAGAGAAAGTGAAACTAACCAAGTAGAGAAAGTGAAACTAAGCAAGTAAAGTGAAAGTGAAACTAACCTGGTAGAGCGGTGTTGTTCTCGGGTGTTGGTCTTGGTTCGTATCAGGAAGCAGTATTCTGTGGGAGCTTTGTGCTGTTTCTTGAACTCTTTATTGTTGTTCGGCAAGAACATGTCGTTCTCTTCTGTCCTAAACGAAACTACGTGTTACAATCAAGGCAAATAATTAACTAATTATATAATTGATATCATATTTTGATCGCAATTTTATTGCTGTTGGTATTGGGCAAATGCGAAGAATTTGCGTCAAAAATGATCAGTGTTATTACAATTTTACAAATGCTGAAACAAACATGATCACAAGTTTGATCGCTAAAATAACACATTCCCGAGTTAGATAACTAATCCTACATATTCCCTCGACACAGACAAACCTAACCAATATCCGATATCTAGTATTAAGGCAACATCTCCATATGCATAACCTAAGAGTAAGCAAAGCGCTAGACGCAATCCTATCGTTGGTCCTAGATCCAGCTCCTCGAAACAAGAAAAAAATACTCCCAGGAGTCCTAGATTCAGCCCCTCGAAACAAGGAAACAATATTCCCGGAAATGTTACTAAGTGCAAACCTTGAGAAGCATGTTATAACTAAGTATTGTTACTAGTTGCTAACCTTGAGAAGCATGTCCAAGGCAGGGATTGCGACTTATTCTTAGCTTTTCCAGCGTAGTAGATACCACTGTCCCTTATCACGAAGTTCATTTTCCTCCAACTCTTCTTTCCTGACTTCAGCCAATGGACACCTTTCAGACCTACAGTGGTTTTAGTGAGGAAATATGATAGATATGTAATAATAATGTTTAATCAATTTGACAAAAAATTTAGTATCAAAACTTGAATTTCTAAATAGAGATTTAGAAATTGTTAACGGATAATAATCAACAACACGAGTGCACAATATACAGTAAGTTACATAAGACAATCAGTAATTATGGGGATAAATAGCTAACTGACCAATTAATTGATCAACAGACAACTAACAAAGATAACTAATTAGCTAATTAGCTAATTAGCTGATTAGCTACTTATACCACGTGATATGACCTACCTATGCTGGGTATCCTTGTGTTAGCTGTATTGGAGAAGAAATCATCAATAAGAACCTGTCTACACTCCCTATTCAGGTCCACTACATTAGCGTACGTGTCTACAGGCTTTAGGAAGAGTTGAGGTCTTCTGAATAACTCGTATCTAGAGGAAGTGGTTAGTTTAGCATTGTTTAGATAGTGAGTTATCAGTTAAGGGTGAGTTAAGGGTAAATCACCCGGTAATCAGAAAGTAATCATAAAGTAATCAGAAAGTCGATAAAAGGTCAGAAGTTCCAGAAAGTCTAAAATTGCACAAAGTCCAGAATTGCAGAAAGTTAAGAAATTTCAAAATGTAAAGAAAGTATTAACCTACGTAAGTACTACGTAAGTATTACGTAAGTATTACGTAAGTATTACGTAAGTATTACGTAAGTATTACGTAAGTATTACGTAAGTATTACGTAAGTATTACGTAAGTATTACGTAAGTATTACGTAAGTATTACGTAAGTATTACGTAAGTATTACGTAAGTATTACGTAAGTATTACGTAAGTATTACGTAAGTATTACGTAAGTATTACGTAAGTATTACGTAAGTATCACGTAAGTATTACGTAAGTATCACGTAAGTAATATGTAAGTATTACGTAAGTATTAGTACACTAACTTTCTGACGTTGTTTCGGAAGTACATCTTGTTAGTAGAGTCTCGGCTCCAACTATTCAACACATCGTACACTATCTCGTGATCCTCTAACTCTCGTTCTGAGATAAGGATTAATTAGGTTTAATTATTAATTAGTCAATAACTAAACTATCAACTAATTATTAATTAGTCAATAATTAAACTATCAACTAATTATTAATTAGCCAATAATTAAACTATCAACGTGCGTGTTGGGCATATACCTTTGAGACTTCTTTAATCTTGCAAATCTATCCGTTAATAGCGAGTATATATATATCGGTTAAAAGCGAGTTCTAATTTCAAATAATATCTCCAATGACATTTGACAAAGCTTTCAGTTTCAAGTTCCAACAATAGTTCAATGTTAAAAGGTTGGCACTTTGCCACATACCTATTGGCACTTTGCCACATACCTATTGGCACTTTGCCACATGCCTATTGGCACTTTGCCACATACCTATTGGCACTTTGCCACATACCTATTTCCAGATCAGTGATGTGTTCCACTAGAGTCCAGTCAGATCCAGGTTTGTAATAGTTCTTCTCCGCCAGAACCTGACACACCTCCCAAGCAGTCTGCTTCTGTTCCACCCAGATAGTCTTGGAGCTGTTGTTAACGTTGAATACTTTCATTGCTATCTTCAGGTTGCTGGCGATCTTCAGTTTTTCTAGCGCTATTTTTAATTTCTCCTGTGAGCAGGGTTCTGTTTAGAGTTTGGAGTTTATATTTTAGGAAATAAAATAACAGTGCAGTGCAGTATCATTTGTCGCAGAAATCAGAATAATCAGAAATTATCATCTGTCTATTGTTATGCGACTAATGAATAATGTTCCAGTCCATAATCTTTATACCCATTGAGTATTGATTTAATTAAAAATATATTAGATTTGGGCACTGTTGGAGATATGAACCATATCTTGTTTTGACACCTGACCATTCTAAATCCAGAATGGCTGTCACGTGTAAAAGATTAACCACCAGTAAATACAGTAACCATAGCAACATAGCTAACCTTCTTCAAGATAGCTGCTTTCTCCTCCTCAGTCAGATCCTCCTTCTCCTTAAGTATCATAGTAAGTCTGCGCTGTATTTTAGCTGACTTTGGGCCGGGAGTAATAGGTGTAGTTGGGCTCGGTTCCTGTAACGCACCAGTGTGAAAACTACACTTACACTTGGGACATGTCAGCTTGTGTGGGGGTTTGGGCGAGGGGGTTGCTCCCTCCCTCCCTCGCGAGGGGGTTGCTCCCTCCCTCCCTCGCGAGGGGGTTGCTCCCTCCCTCCCTCGCGAGGGGGTTGCTCCCTCCCTCCCTCGCGAGGGGGTTGCTCCCTCCCTCCCTCGCGAGGGGGTTGCTCCCTCCCTCCCTCCCTCATTCCTACTCCTCTTTTTGAACATCATGTAAACAAACGCAATGGTATTGTGTGATAAAAACAAGCAAAAGAAAACATACGGGGTCATTAAAGAACGGTTCGTTGTCAGGGACACGGATAGGAACATTCATAGGATCAGTCTTGAAGTCGTTCTGAAAGTGGGCAGTTTGTTAAACTACATACCTAGTTTAATTCATTACACGTAACAACTTATGTTATTATTACAATAAGCGGGTGTCTAAAGTGTTCCTGAACGGAGATATGGCTTCTGACAAGTTTAACGCGGACTTTACATTGACGGGAACGTGTTGGTACGCGATTAGAACTTTAGAACGTTATTAAAAGCGAGTCTGAATATAGAACCCACGAAGGAACTTCGTGCTCATTTCCATGGAAACAACATTTTGTGTGATATACAAAACTGAAAAGGCACTTAAGAGGCTTTGGGTTTCGACACTCAATTTTCAAAACCCCAACTTTGACACGGTAAAGCTCCACCCTGTATTTTGAGACTGTTTTGATAAATTCGTCGTCAAGATTCTGATATAATTTTATGTTACCAAAGCTGCCGATAAAAGCTGTGTTAAATTTACTTGGAACCAATAAAAGTGAAAGTTTGAACTGACCTCTCTGAAATCAGTAGTTGTGCTGTTGAGACTCATTTTACTGTCGTACAACTCAGAGGAAGAAGAAGTTAGGTAGCTGCTGACTCCGCTGCTCTTGCTTATGGTTGAGTGAGGGGTGGTAGACATGGTGTACATGGACCTGGGGGTCGGGAAACTTAAGGGACTGTTAGAAATCATGCGAATTTACATTCAAGAGACGGTTCAAATCGTACAATTTTTCCATGTACTGAGATCGAAACGGGAACCGGACGCGATGGCGGTACTTTCTTAAAAAGGTGAATACGAGAGCGAATCACATGAATCACTTTAATTATTTATCGATAAAGAGATGCTTAAGTAGTACACGTGAATAAGAAATGTAAAAGTTGTAACTCACCCATTATTGCCGCTGCTAGGGTTAGAGTGAGAACTAGCTCCAGAGCTAGTAGTACACACAGAGGTTCTCTGATCGAATACGGAGGAAGCAGGACGTCCCTCAGATACCATGCTACCTGGTCTACTGTCCCGCTTGTCTGGTTCTGGAGGGTGCTCTGTTAGTGCCACTTTGGAGGCTCTGTCCGTGTGTCCGTGTGTCACTCTGGACGCTCTGTCCGTCTGTCCGTCTGTCACTCTGGAGGCACTGTCTGTCTGTCCATCTGTCACTCTGGAGGCTCTGTCCATCTGTCCGTCTGTCACTCTTGAGGCTCTGTCCGTCTGTCCGTCTGTCACTCTGGAAGCTCTGTCTGTCTGTCCGTCTGTCACTCTGGACGCTCTGTCCGTCTGTCCGTCTGTCACTTTGGGGAGTCTGTCAGTCTTGTCTTTTTTCTTGTTTTTCTTTCGTTTCCGAAATGATGCGAACATACTTTTAGGGCGAGATTTCAAGGCTTGGTCAAAGTTTGTTTCAGTTGTAGAAGTCCAACTCTGAGGTCGTTGGTCGCTAATTGATCTAGTTGGTCTACCTAGTAACTCACGACTTGTCTCCATCTCAACTGACTTGTTCCTCTCTAGACTACTTTGATACTGTTTCTCTTTTGATACTAAAGTCCTACTCAATATTATCTCATTTGTCATACTCGAAGGTCTGCGTAGGTCAAAAGTTTTGAACTCTTTGAATTGTTGTGGGGACCAGCTCATAGGTCGGTCATTTGTCAGTCTACAACTAGAGATATAGTCTGGGAGAGTGGTTTCATCCGGAGATGAATGCTTTTCTGTTGCACTGTCAGAATCGTCTAAACAAGGATTTGTAATAATCTGTCAAAAAAGAAAATCTTTGCCAATTCTTGTAATCCCAAAGAAGCAAAAATATAAAATAAAAAAGCGGGTTTCAAAATGTGTAGGTTCCAGTGACTCACCAGTATTATCAGTACTACAGGGCGGAGGAGGAGTGAGGGCGGGGGAGACTGGAGCTGGAGACATTGTGGGAGGAGGAGGAGGAAGAGAACCTGCATCTGATATTAGGGAGGTAGCTGAAGCAGCTAGGGAGGTGGGAGGAGGCCCAGGTTGTGTTCGTTCTGGTGGAGCGGTGGTGGTACTCCTAGATCGCTTTCTAAGTCAGCTGCAGAAAATAACTGTGTTTAAGAAAGCATCAAGTGGAAATGCCTCCGTAAAATTGTAACAGGCAATTACAAAAGTTAACAAGTTACAAATCAAAGTTACAACTTAAAGTCCAATCTGCTAATCTGAATAGTTACCTAGAGCAGAGCTGAGATCGTCATCAGGAGGAGGGGGAGGCATTACCTCTACTGGAGGGGCAACAGGTGCAGGTGGGGGAGGCATAACCTCTACTGGAGGGGCAACAGGTGCAGGTGGGGGAGGGGGTGTAGCTCTAGCCATCTCCTCGTATATAGTGGGAGGTGGGGGCAGGTTGTCTGAACTAGCACCCAGAGGAGCTGGCAGGGATCCAAACTGCATCTGAAATATCAGTGGGTGAGTTTATTTTATTTTGTGTATTAAACCACGTAATACGACTGTTGTAATAGGAGAACTGTTGACGGCTTTAATTAACCGGTTTTCACCGGTTCAACGTAATTACAGTCATTACATCAGATGTCAAACCTTAGCTTTGGGATTGGTAGGGGTTGGTATATCGTTGAAACCAAACGAGGCATTGATATCCTCCATATCGTTACACAAATCATCTAGAAGCGAATCTAAGTCTTTCTCATCAGTGTCTGAAGAATAGTTAGGTCAGTATTAATTCCGGCACTGTAGAAATAAAAGATTTTTTTGTTGCCGGTTCCAAAATAGCCCATGTAACTTGACGATCAGCCAAGATAATTATAAATTATCCCATCTAATTAGTAACCTAATTACATAGCGTGTAGTACATTGAGTGTTGTATTACGAGGCTGTCTGTGGTAATGACCATAGCATATACATGATAAAGTTGGTGAAGGAGCACCTAGAGACGCTAATGTTGATGAAGGAGCACTGCAGAGGCCAGAGTAAGACCCCACAGAAGAAGCCCTGAAAGAGACCTCCACCACTCGTCACCACTAGTTACCATAGTTACACCACTCGTCACTATACTACACCACAATTAAACCACATCTAATGACAAACGCTCATATTGATGAAGGAGCATCTACTTGTCAGCAATTTAAGTCACGTGAGAGCAAATCAACCATTCAGCTCACAGTTTTACCTTTCTCAGCCAATCAACGCCTTGGTTATCTTAACAGGTAAAATTGCCTTCCAATTAATGATAAAACGAGAGTTTAAACTTAAAACTAAAACAAGACTCCGACTTATGAAAAGGAGGCTTGTTAAAATTCGCAGACTTTTAAAACTAAATGTTATACTTACTTAACTTTTTGATCGTGCCATTTGCTATGACTCGCATAGCTGATAATAATTATTTCTCCAAATTTATGTTTCTTCTCTTTCCTCTGGCATTTTAAAAGACAATGGACAAGTGTTCAGATCGGAACAAAACAAAATGATCAACACAGTATTTACACTTACTGAAATAGGATCGTAGCATTGAGATAGAAGTGGGCCGTTTTGCGAGGAACGCCACAGCCGCCATTGTGAGCTAGATTATTCCTTTTACAAGACAAATTATAATTTGGAAACAATAGCTTATTGGTCATGGTGAATGGTGGAGAATATATCAGTGGTTTTAGCGGAGTATTTATCAATGAGTACGAGGTCGTGACTAGAGACAAATATGTACCCGATATTATAAAAATGCAAGTTCAACTGACGACTCAAGTCTCAAGACATGTATTAATGAAAAGACAATGGCAAGTTCGAATAACACAATCATAAAAATGAAAATCACGTACGATTTAAATGAAGCACATAGACTCAGGAAGGAAAGAAGGCATAAAAATTATAACCGTCCAAACAAATATGATGAATATTATGTTCGTACTAATGTTTACTATGTACTACTATGTTCGTACTAATCCAGCAATGTGAAAGAGGTTTATTGGCTTATTGATTTAGCTATTAATTGAGTAAAGCATTAGTTTCTACTCCGAATAACAAAAGAAGTATCATGGCCAGGATTTAGTACCCACACTGGAAACTAAAAGACTGAGAAGACAGGACAAGTTAACGAGACATCCTGCGTAATGACGTAACCATTACCTGCTTTAGAGTGTGCTATTATGCAGGTACTGCAGGTACTACAGGTAGTACAGGTAATAGTGCCTAATAATAATAACCTATTGTCCAGTCCTGTGCTCCTTCACCAATATTAGCGTCTCTGTGCAGTGTGCAGACACACTACTCTGTATTGGTCTGTGCACAATAGACCGCCTCCACACTGCCAGCAGCAGACACAGGACTTATATTAGGACTACATCCCCCCTCCCTCTCTCTGATATCATGCAACCAATAACCTGCTGATATCCGGACCATGTGGCCTGTGTGGGCCAATGGGAGCGCTGTATTTCATCATGCATGAGTTAGCCGATTATCCGTGGTGATCAAGTGGATTTTAACCTTGAATTTATTAGATTAGTGGTCATTTAGACGAGTTGTTGCAAGATGGTAGGGGCAGGTGACGGATCATATTATAGAAGTAATAAAACCAGAAACTGAGAGAAGAGTACAAAACGGAACTGGTTTCTCAGTATTGTTAGGTGTTGTGCCCCCCGTGTAACCAAGATCCTTATATTTACAAACGGGTATTATATATTTCATAGTGGTTTATGGTGACTAGTACCCCGGTGTGGGGTTATGGAATGTTAGTGTCGACCTCACAATATGTAGCCAGCAACTAACAAATACAACCTAGTTAAACTTAAACAAATATAAGGAGAGGGTTTTCAGAGGTAGGAACCAATCTGCAGCGCAAGAAACTGTTCACAAATATCAACCACTCAAATTAAGGGCCCGGGTTATATTAGGCCCGAAAAACGTATCCTGTCATGATGATGGAATGTTACAAATAAACTCCTGGACAGAAACCAGGGAAGTTCCAACATTTGGAGAAATAACGAGATAGCGTTTAATTATAAATCTGTACACTCGACCCCATAATTGGTTAATTGGTTACGATGCTAAATTTAGACATCGCTTGATCCAGGTAGGAAGCCAACGAATGCCATACAGAAACATAGCACCATATAAGGGTATAATAGGTGGTAATTGACTCAAAATTGTCACAATTATTTTCGGAACATAATTTCTTATGTGGGTCTAGTGCGATTGAAGCAGAAGGTCCAAAAGAATATGATAACATTTATAATTAGACTCTGAAACAAAGCGAATACCTGAAAATTCAATCCCATCCACTGATAACTGAAAATCCATCCCGTCCACAGACAGCTGCATTGATAACTGCATTGACAACTGCATACTAAATGCTGCAAAACGATTTGACAAAAAAACAAGGCACAAACAAAACCTCACAAAACGCAACAATATATAATAACCGATAAGATCTGAACAAAACAACTAAATTGACGGACCAATACCCACCTGTAAAACCCTGATTGAATTAATGTCGTCATGACTCCGTAACAGTTAGGTCACTTAACCAGCTCTCCTACCCACCTACTCCTCATTCCGTCATATCACAATTACCTTCATACCTATCCAGTGTCACAAAATCAGTGACAAACCCTCACAGCCAATCAGAACGCTGGAAACAGCACATCGACCAATGGGGGAGCCGCGCAAGGCTCACTGCTCCTGATTACGTGTATGCTGTCTGCAGTGCAGGTAGAGATTGAATTATATTAACGCTAATGTTGATGAAGGAGCGAGAGAAACACACCTTCGCACCCTACTGATAGAGGGCCTAGCAGGGGCCTGCTCCTTCATCAACATTAGTGTCTGAACTGAGACTAGTTACCAGTTGTATTATTATTAACGTTAGACTGAGGGTCGCCAACATATTATGGGGAGGTTGGCTGGATCTGGTTCTAATATGAAACAGTGGGAGAAACTGGCGAGATTCAGACATGATGGAACATTATCTGTGATTGGAAATAACAGAGGTTGCCGGGACCAGGTACAGGAGTCTATCTCCATTTTACAAGTCTATTATTATCTGGCCGGTTTGAAGCCTTCTGGAACCGGCTAAAGTCACAAATATTCAGAAATTCATCGTTAACAGTAACAGTATATTTAAATGAATCGATTATTAGAACGTCCAGGAATGAATGGTAATAATCCGTGATAATCAATTTAAAGTAACTTACTGCCAAGCGCCATGATGGACATTCTGTAGGCGGCAGAGTTCTGAAAATATGTTTAGATATTAGTCAGGAAATTAGCCCGGAAAATGTTAGTTTCCAAGAAAACAGGAAGCTTTTATCAAGTTTTTTTACAATTTGAATAATTCTTGTGATTTAAGAAGGAAAACTGTGTTGTAATCACTAATAAACAGCTGAAAAGCGTTGAAAGGGCGATAAATTCCAAATATAATTATTCAGAACTTTAAACTAGGATAATATTTAGATAAATGAATTTAATTCCATCATAGCTTAATTTAGCAGGACAGGTTTATTTTCTATACTATTTTTACAGCGTGCAAATTCTTCCAATAAATTGTAAAGCACAACTTAGAGGAGACATTTCAAAATTCCACCAAATCCGAAAACAAATGACCCAGGACCCGACATGCTCCACTTCTCACCTCACAATTAGTCTTAATCTTCCTCCTAATGGTGCTGGAGTAGACCAGAGGATCAAACACAAGCTTTACACTCTTTCTACTGTACGTCCTGGTCCTAGATCTGGACATTGTCATTAGGTTACCCATCCTGTAGATCCGTGTGAGACACTGGTGAGACACTGCTGAGACACTGGTGAGACACTGGTGAGACACACTTCAGAGTTGAGGCACACTTCAGAGCTGAGACACACTTCAGAGTTGAGACGAACTTCAGAGTTGAAACTGAAGGAGACGAAGTTTCGGAGGTTCCTAGGATGCTGGATCCTCAAAAGAAATTGCAGGAGTACGAAATTCCAGGAGTCAGACACAGACACACACAACTACAAGATCAGAACTTTTAAATAGTGGAGACCCCCAAATACCAGAGTCCAGAGGAGAACGGACAAACGACAGTCCACAACAAGTAGTAGGACAAGTCTGGAACCTTGAAACAGAACCAGTTACTTCAGAGTTCAGAGTCAGTACCACTGTCAACACCACTGTAATCTAGACAAACGAGCACTTAAACAAGCTGTAGTATAGTTACACACAGCTCCAGAAGCAAATAACAATCCTGTCAAATATTTAAACTTTCCATACAGTCTAAAGTTCAAGACGCCCTCTCAACAGATCTCCAATCTGTAGCTTGAGTACTAGTCCAGTGGCTCCAGCCTATCTAGGCACTACGCTCTTATATCCAGATATCAACCAGAGACAGCGTGCTATTGTATCTACTATATACTACTATATATATATTGTATTTACAACCTGGAGCCACTTCTGAGCAGATATATCTTCTTGCTGAGTAAACCTTGCTATGATGCACACTATAACCATATAACCAGTATGTAGTGATGATAAGATACTTAAAGTTAGGTTTGGTATAATACAAGTAACGGGGGTATTTACTTATTTAGATCACGAGATCAAGTGGTGAGCTGGAACAATGCCCAATATGTGAGCTGGAAAAATGCCAAATATGTGTCTAGAACTACTGACTCAAGAAGTGGAATGTTGCCAGGGTAATAATCAAGAAGTGAAATGTTGCCAGGGTAATAATCAAGAAGTGGAATGTTGCCAGGGTAATAATAAATGCCTTGGCTCGATGTTCTTAAGAACCTCGATCGACTTTTGAAAAATATTACCTTTAAAATCGTGCTCACCATAAACTATTTAAAAATGGGAGAGGGGTCCATCGTCACTTACGCCATGTTGACTCCCCTTAAAACTAGTTAAATAATTATTCCTTAAAAACTTAAGTACTCACAGTAGGTGGAACCTTCTTCCTGAGTCTGACAGTGTCAGATTCTCCGAGAGCAGCAGGCATACCAGACAGTTCCCGTTCCATCTCCAGGAACTGATCCATTATATCATCCAGCTCCGTGTCCATGGTTTGTCCGGGCATCTCTTGTGATTTGGGGGCTGGTGCTAGATCCTGGGGAAGGGAGGGGAGGTTAGATATTGTGATGTGGGGGCTGGTGCTAGATCCTGGGGAGGGAGGGGAGGTTAGATATTATAGATATTGTGATTTGGGGGCTGGTGCTAGATCCTGGGGCAGGGAGGGGAGGTTAGATATTGTGATTTGGGGGCTGGTGCTAGATCCTGGGGCAGGGAGGGGAGGTTAGATATTGTGATGTGGGGGCTGGTGCTAGATCCTGGGGAGGGAGGGGAGGTTAGATATTATAGATATTGTGATTTGGGGGCTGGTGCTAGATCCTGGGGAAGGGAGGGGAGGTTAGATATTGTGATTTGGGGGCTGGTGCTAGATCCTGGGGCAGGGAGGGGAGGTTAGATATTGTGATTTGGGGGCTGGTGCTAGATCCTGGGGAAGGGAGGGGAGGTTAGATATTGTGATTTGGGGGCTGGTGCTAGATCCTGGGGCAGGGAGGGGAGGTTAGATATTGTGATTTGGGGGCTGGTGCTAGATCCTGGGGAGGGAGGGGAGGTTAGATATTATAGATATTGTGATTTGGGGGCTGGTGCTAGATCCTGGGGCAGGGAGGGGAGGTTAGATATTGTGATGTGGGGGCTGGTGCTAGATCCTGGGGCAGGGAGGGGAGGTTAGATATTGTGATTTGGGGGCTGGTGCTAGATCCTGGGGAAGGGAGGGGAGGTTAGATATTGTGATTTGGGGGCTGGTGCTAGATCCTGGGGCAGGGAGGGGAGGTTAGATATTGTGATTTGGGGGCTGGTGCTAGATCCTGGGGCAGGGAGGGGAGGTTAGATATTGTGATGTGGGGGCTGGTGCTAGATCCTGGGGCAGGGAGGGGAGGTTAGATATTATAGATATTGTGATGTGGGGGCTGGTGCTAGATCCTGGGGCAGGGAGGGGAGGTTAGATATTGTGATGTGGGGGCTGGTGCTAGATCCTGGGGCAGGGAGGGGAGGTTAGATATTGTGATGTGGGGGCTGGTGCTAGATCCTGGGGAGGGAGGGGAGGTTAGATATTATAGTGTGGGGGCTGGTGCTAGATCCTGGGGAGGGAGGGGAGGTTAGATATTATAGATATTGTGATTTGGGGGCTGGTGCTAGATCCTGGGGCAGGGAGGGGAGGTTAGATATTGTGATGTGGGGGCTGGTGCTAGATCCTGGGGCAGGGAGGGGAGGTTAGATATTGTGATGTGGGGGCTGGTGCTAGATCCTGGGGAGGGAGGGGAGGTTAGATATTATAGTGTGGGGGCTGGTGCTAGATCCTGGGGAGGGAGGGGAGGTTAGATATTATAGATATTGTGTTGTGGGGGCTGGTGCTAGATCCTGGGGCAGGGAGGCGAGGTTAGATATTATAGATATTGTGATTTGGGGGCTGGTGCTAGATCCTGGGGCAGGGAGGGGAGGTTATATAAATTTCTAAATATTGTGGTACTATCTTATTGCTGTAATCTTTATGTTTGAAAGTTGTATACTGGAGGTCAAATGTATCGTTTTCTGGGAATGTCAGGGGTTGGATTTCTAAAAGAATTTACCGTCTACTCAAAGGTTTGTTTGTAGAGGGAGGGGTACAGCGTTCTAGAGTAATTATGTAATACATTCCAGAATGACATAAAGAATTTGCTTATGTAATATTCTAAACGTAAAAGACAAAAGATAAAAACTTAGCTAAAGAACTCACCCGATTGTCAAGGTCGGCTCCTTTCAGCGCTGAGTAGAGCTTGTCTTTATCATGGTCAGGTATAAAGGGTAGACTATTCAATGATGCATCGCTGAGAGGGAGAAAAGAAGGGTTAACGGTGTGATAATAACGGAGCTGGAGCACTGGAGCACTGGGTGCTGTAGGTGCTTAGTTCATGAGAGTGTAGTCAGTACACTGTACTGGTGTTTAGTGTGGGTTACTGTGTTTGTGATCTTAGCACAGAGCCTGTAGACAACGCGACTAGACACGCTATAATATAGTATGTATATATAGAATTTGACATGAAAGTCTATTATTCTAAGCGGTGTTCGTTCACTTGGATTGTGTGCACTATTTGTAATATTGTAATAATCTGGTTTATTCTGAGCGGTTAGAAAAAAAAAATCCAGCTCTAGTAGTAGAGCTGGATTAAATGGAAAGCTTGGCTTCACGATCAATTAATTATTAACCTGGGATATGTAATGGCCGAGAATTTACCAAATATCAACTTACATCATGATTCCAACTGTCATTTTGGGAGAAAACACTCAAACTAAAACTAAAACTAACGCTACAAAAACTATCGCTAAAAATAAGAATAATGAACATGTTCTAGACCCCAGATAACTTTATACCCCATAATCTCGTTACAAAAGGTGACGTCACAGTGCCAGTACTCACTAATACACTTACTAGTACTCACTAATATATTACAGTAATTCTATCTCACACACTATCTATCACATGTCATTTTAAAGTCGGAACATTGTACTGACCAATGATATGGGGCCCCGCCTCTCTTAGCTCGGGGAGACTTCCTTATTTTTAGAGTTTTAGATAAGGAAGCAAGGGATTGAGGTACAGAAGTCACGTGGTATTGAAGTCACGTGGTACAGAAGTCACGTGGTACAGAAGTCACGTGGTATTGAAGCCACGTGGTAAGAAGACCAAGTCCTTAGACAGTGACAGAGAGCCTTTAAATCGTGAGATGAATCTGGGGGGGGGCTGAGGGTAACAGTAACCCTAGTAACAGTAACCATAGTAACAGAGGGGGGCTCATGATTAGCACCAGAAACTGCTAATGGTTGGGAGGTGGTACTCTACCTAGAGGTCCCGAGCTGGCTGCTGATAAAGTATTACAGTTGGCAAGGATGCTGGTACGGGACAAATTACGATTATTAAATTAAGAGAAATCAATTCAACTTATCAGAACTGTATAATTATTTTTAGTAAAAACCTCAAGAAGCACGCGTTGTGCGACTAGTTAGTAGTTACAGACGAAGTGACGCTAATAAAGTAATCATATGAGTATTTAAGTAATTAGGAGAACTAGACGAAGTGGGACGAAGTGCTCTCAGAGACCCGGCTAGTAGAGGGACAGTGTCCGGCTAGTAGTGGGACAGTGTCCTGGACTACTAATCACGACTAGAGGGGCTACTGACCGGGGCTAAATATAGGGACTACTTCACCGCCCCGTGAACTAGAGCACTTTGCAACACCTCCACAATGTGCTCCGCTTGTTGAGCGGTGCAGCCAGCCAATCAGCACACAGAAGCCGTGTCACGTGGTGTGTGAAAGCCAATCAGGACACAGCAGCTGTGTCACGTGGTGTGTGAGAGCCAATAGGAAGAAAGCGTGCCAGGACAATAGGGACCAGCATCCAGCAAGCTTAATAAAACACACTACAGATATTAAACCGGAGAGTTCCGCACAAAAGGTATATCCCAACAGTATCGGCTGCAGTATCAGCTGCAGTATCGGAACACTGTTTATAACAGGAACACTGTTTATAACAGGAACACTGTTTATAACAGGAACACTGTTTATAACAGGAACACTGTTTATAACAGGAACACTGTTTATAACAGGAACACTGTTTATAACAGGAACACTGTTTATAACAGGAACACTGTTTATAACAGGAACACTGTTTATAACAGGAACACTGTTTATAACAGGAACACTGTTTATAACAGGAACACTGTTTATAACAGGAACACTGTTTATAACAGGAACACTGTTTATAACAGTAACACTGTTTATAACAGGAACACTGTTTATAACAGGAACACTGTTTATAACAGGAACACTGTTTATAACAGGAACACTGTTTATAACAGGAACACTGTTTATAACAGGAACACTGTTTATAACAGGAACACTGTTTATAACAGGAACACTGTTTATAACAGGAACACTGTTTATAACAGGAACACTGTTTATAACAGGAACACTGTTTATAACAGGAACACTGTTTATAACAGGAACACTGTTTATAACAGGAACACTGTTTATAACAGGAACACTGTTTATAACAGGAACACTGTTTATAACAGGAACACTGTTTATAACAGGAACACTGTTTATAACAGGAACACTGTTTATAACAGGAACACTGTTTATAACAGGAACACTGTTTATAACAGGAACACTGTTTATAACAGGAACACTGTTTATAACAGGAACACTGTTTATAACAGGAACACTGTTTATAACAGGAACACTGTTTATAACAGGAACACTGTTTATAACAGGAACACTGTTTATAACAGGAACACTGTTTATAACAGGAACACTGTTTATAACAGGAACACTGTTTATAACAGGAACACTGTTTATAACAGGAACACTGTTTATAACAGGAACACTGTTTATAACAGGAACACTGTTTATAACAGGAACACTGTTTATAACAGGAACACTGTTTATAACAGGAACACTGTTTATAACAGGAACACTGTTTATAACAGGAACACTGTTTATAACAGGAACACTGTTTATAACAGGAACACTGTTTATAACAGGAACACTGTTTATAACAGGAACACTGTTTATAACAGGAACACTGTTTATAACAGGAACACTGTTTATAACAGGAACACTGTTTATAACAGGAACACTGTTTATAACAGGAACACTGTTTATAACAGGAACACTGTTTATAACAGGAACACTGTTTATAACAGGAACACTGTTTATAACAGGAACACTGTTTATAACAGGAACACTGTTTATAACAGGAACACTGTTTATAACAGGAACACTGTTTATAACAGGAACACTGTTTATAACAGGAACACTGTTTATAACAGGAACACTGTTTATAACAGGAACACTGTTTATAACAGGAACACTGTTTATAACAGGAACACTGTTTATAACAGGAACACTGTTTATAACAGGAACACTGTTTATAACAGGAACACTGTTTATAACAGGAACACTGTTTATAACAGGAACACTGTTTATAACAGGAACACTGTTTATAACAGGAACACTGTTTATAACAGGAACACTGTTTATAACAGGAACACTGTTTATAACAGGAACACTGTTTATAACAGGAACACTGTTACAATTACTCAAACAGTAAATCTGGGAGGACCTTACTAATATGTAGTATGATCTAAGTGACGAAACTGAAGGTCGCACTGTATCCAAATAGTACTCCTACAACCCCTCCTTGTACTCAAGTACTGGCACTGAGCAAACATCATCACAATGGAAGTTATCTTCAGGAAGAGGAGCAGTAACGAGCCAATCAGAGCACAGAACGAGAGCTGTTAGCCAATCAGAAGGCTGGAGATAAGTCACGTGACACGTGCGAGGAACTAGGATATTAGAGTATATTTTAGGTAGAGCATGTAATTAATGTGTTATGTGCAGACATGCAACAGACATGTAACAGACATGTAACGTCGAAACAGCAAAAGAAAGACAATCCCAACAAATTAAAGAGTTAGGAGATAATGATTACAGTCACAAGACCGCTATATTAAGCATAAAAGTGAAATAATGTTGCGAGTAAAATATAATTATGTCGAAGTTCTCGTGATTATATTACGGGGAAATGATATTATATTCTAAATAAACCATGACAATGATAGCTTTTCTACATAGCAACTTGGAGCGAAATATCTAGTATGGAGAGGTATAAATGCCGAAATTTTCCCAGCGTCTGATGAACAGAAGCCTTATTCCCCGCCCTAGCACTGTAGTGTAACTATAGCACTGTATTGTATGTGTGGATTTATTAAGTTATTAGAAGAAACTAATGGTTCATAAAGTGCGTTGATTTGTTTGGCGCCAAGTCCAAGGTGAGGTTACATTTGCCATATTAATGCGTATGATTCGATTAATACCTTTTTTATGAGGATAAATTATGTTATAATTCACGAACACTGAAAAAAGTCACGTTGACTGCTGCTGGATAAAAATAGAAGAGAGTAGTCCAAGTTTGTTTTGGCACGTGACAGCTGTTTTGTTTATTTCCGAAGAAATAAGCAAAACGAATTACAGCAAGAAAAAACAATGTGAGACAAGAAACTCCGAATAAAACCCAATACAGGTAAATGAAACCCGAAATAAAGGTACTTGACCAGATATAACCATCTATTCAACTACCAACATAATCAACTACATACAGACACAGTACGATAAAAGTATTCAATATTCGTAGACTACCCCGGGGCAAACAGGTCTCTGAGTAGATGAAGTGTTCCAGCACAAGCATACAGACGTAACCACGTGGGCTGGTTTCTGAGCACGTGGGCTGTTTCTGAGCACGTGGGCGAGGGGATTGGTCACGTGATAGGCTGGTTGCTGATAAGAGTAGCTATTATCAACGTGTGAGCTGTTGAGAGTGGGGTTTCGGACATGTGTTATAGGAAGCAGATCCTACGATTTCGAGTTGGCGTAAAAAGTATGATTTCTGTAGAAGACGATTCTTTATTTAGAATAGTTGAGCCTTATTTCATAGTCGTGAACTAGTATTATCTTATCTAGTGTTATTGTAGTTCAGAATATCGATAACCATACCTCTTGGCTCAAATGCGTTAATTTTTATTCACATAATTCCATTTATCTATAATTCTTCTTCTTCGTAGGGGGCTGTGGTCTTTACTACTAAAGTGGTCTTTATCTATAATTATTTACTACCCAAAATAGCTTATTTTAACGGTGTAAATATTAAATAAGCATGATTAAATTGGCACAGAAACGACTGAAGCGTGCATTATTTAAGTTTTAACCACAAATTGCTTTTACCGAGCAAATTGAAACAGATAAAGTATGTACAATCATTACTATTGG